CAAGCACCGTAATGCTCCTACAGCTGCGTATTTTCTCTATTTCAGAAGGCAAGCATTTCAATAATATTACCAGCAAATATCACAGTTATTCTTTCCAAGGTAGCGGAATGTGGAGTAGTTGATAAGGAAAACACTGCACGGGTTCAAAAATGCCTCATTTGCGCTATGTCCGCTGTTTTGGTTAAACAGGCTTACCAGCCGAACCCTCCCTTAAAAGCGGTTGATCCACGAGGACAAAAATGTCCACGTAAAAATCCAAGCAATGGGTGGCAAATTCCCAACAAACTATTTAGTGTTGGCCATTTCACCCTTTTATTGAAAAACGTTACTTCTATCATCCGCCATGAGACGACTGTCGAAAGGAGACCCGCCGGACGTGTTGCTCATTTCGACAAGAGAGGATTGATTGCTGTCGTCATCTGAATAATTTTTATCGGATTAGAAGAAAGAAGAAATAAATTGTATGAATATTATATTGCCGACTAAATTTGATTAAATATAACGTGTTTTGAATTTTGATCAAGCTGGCTGGCCTTTATATTTGACTTTAAAAATTTCTGTAAAGCCGGCGGTGGTGCGCTGGTGCATGGTAACGTGTATCACCTTTCACGCGCACAGCATAGGGGCCATGTCCTATACCAAACAACACCCAGCCCAGTCCAGCTCTTACTTCCTTCCGAGTCGCTTGAATGGCAGAAGAAACGTCATCAATAATGAAAACACTTATCGTAAGCTATTTTTCTGGCTATTTCATATTCACATGGCAGAGCGTTTTGAATGCAAGTCGAATGCGTAGCACAACATGAACAGATCTGATCAACGCTAACGTTTTTGCCCTTAATGTTGCAATTCCTTGTTTACTGCGAGTCTGTTCATTATTTTCTTCAAGCATAGCTGTACACAATAGTAGCCCAATCGCTATGCAACCAGCAGAATTGTTATTACCTTGAGTTCTAGTCAGCCCGGCCGACTGAGCACGGAAAGATGGTGATCCATTTCCATTTGACATATCCATATTTGACATATGAAAGGAGTCGAAGAATTAGAGAGCACAGCTGCTGCTTAACGTAGTCCAAAATTGTTTAACTTACAGAGGAATCCGATGTGTCGGTGCTAAGATTGGGGGCTGGAGGCTGAGCAGAAGGCGGAGGCATTGGAGCCTCAGCGGCCTGAACACCTGCCGCGTATGGTGGTGGCCGATAAGGCACTGGTGCCGGTGCCACATAGGGCATAGGAGGTGGTGGCGCTTTATAGACGACTGGTGGTGCTACATATGGCGGTGGTGCAACATATGGGGCTGGTGCTACATATGGAGCTGGTGCAATCTTGAAGACGGGGGCTGGTGCAACATACGTTGGAGGAGCAGGAGCCACGTAAGTTACCGGCACCGGCACCGGGTATACAGGCGGTGGTGGTGGTGGCGGCGGCGGCGGCGGTGGGAGTGAGTAGACTGGAAAATGTATAAATTAGTATGCAAAAAGGCTCAGGGTTGCTTTTTATGATCGACAATGGCTCATTGCCTGTGAACTTGCATTGAGGTGCTTAAAATGGAAAAAATGCCTACCAGGTATTGGAGGTGGAAGTGCATATCCACCGTGGGCACTGAAATCAACCGTAGTGAAAGAAGAGAACAAATCGGTCTAAACTTAGGCGTCAATTCTAAATTAGTTACATGTGACATTACCTGCACACCAATGAGCTGAATACGAGTAGGGAAGTGATTTCGGTCGTCATTGTCTGCTCTACACACCTGCAGGCCGTTTATAAGCAGTTTCCGTTTGTTGATTTAGTGTCGCTGCTGAATTGAAACTCGTTTCCCTAAGGGTTTTCTTCATCGGATACGCAACCCCTAAAGGCTCTAACCGAGTCCTCTTTTGAACACTGTGAAGAGCCTATCTGT